CTTCTTATTCTTATTCTTCAAATGTCATATCATTTCTGAGAGTAGAGATTTACAATTCTCGTCAGTTTCCATTTTTATTTAAATATTTTTGAATTGCCTTTATTAAAAATGTTTAATTTGACAGTTGAAATTTAAATGAGTTCTGTTTTGGTTTTAAATGCATGTAATTTGTAACTCGAAATTTAAACGAGTTTTCGTGAATGTTTTTCAAAGGTTATGCCACAATGTCCCAAACTTACTCCGTGAACTAAATAAAAGGTTCTGTTCGAAATTTCAACATATATCACTAGAAGACGACCGAAACGTCGGGGGTACGGCAATACAGATGAGGAAAACAGTCCGAATGATGTAAATAGTGTAAGTAGCAACAATACCTCATCTCAGAGATGTAGACAAAACAACTTCTTCGGAAATTTGAACAATTCCTAAAAAAATTGATAGAGTGAATAGATTTAAGTTGTCAATATTATATATATATATATATATATATATATATATATATATATATATATATATATATATATATATATATATATATATATATATATATATATATATATATATATATATATATATTTATGTTTAACGTTCTTTTATAGATACAAGTATTTAAGTAAATGCTCTGTTTATAATAAACAGTATTAAATACATTTACCGGTTGAATATCCGAATTAAATTTTCTATGAAAAATATTCGTTCTTTTTACAGGTTTTCGAACTTGCATCCGATCGTTAAGGCACGTCAGCGTAAATGACGGTTCCGTATAGGATGCAGGTTCGAATCTGTCAAAGGACGAATATTTTCTACTGGAAATTCGACATTCAGGCTGGTAAATTTTATTTAATACTGTTTATTATAAACAGAGCATTTTTAAATACTTGTATCTATAAAAAGAACGTTAAACATAAAAATGTCTTTAATAAATAAATTGTCGGTCTTTTTCCATTTTATATATATATATATATATATATATATATATATATATATAAAGAAATAATCATACATAAAATCAATCAGCAATATTAATTATTAATGCGATTAATGGCGAAATCACTTCGCTAGTAGAACATAACGTATCCATTAAAATACTGTTAATCCATTGAATGATGTGATCCTCATTTATAAAACTGTTGTCAGATGTTTCTAGTGTATATTTTTTTAAAGTTAAGCAAGTACTTTCGAAGATCCATTTCTCCATCCTCAGGATGTATTTTTTTTCCTTTAAAGTTAAAATTTGCAGACAAAATAATTGTTTATAGACCGAAAGATGTTTTTTTAAGAATGTGCTATTTATTGACGGTTGTACAATCTCAGAACTTGCGAGACGGAACGCTAAAGTTCAAAATTTCAAGTGAGAATTTTTATATGAATTTTGTAATATTGTAAATCCACGAATTCTTTTTTTACAAGTGTTTTTCAATTAACATGACATGAACTAAGTATATAGTTCAATTAATATAGTGATATGTCTTAGTAGTTTTTTTTTTTTTTTTTTTCTCAGGAATTTTGTACCGCGGGATCAATTGTTTTTTATAAACATATTGGCAGCATATATATTATACAAAATAAATAATCATACATAGAATCAATCAGCAATATTAATGCGATTAATGGCGAAATCACTTCGCTAGTAGAAGATAATTTTCCAGACGATCTAACACCTTGAACAAGAAAACAATCCCGAAAAGACCAAAAGGTAAACACCTAACTACTCACTAAAGAAAAGTGTTTAACGCCCAGGTTATCTCGATAGAGCAAAAACCTCTTCACATCTTCAACACTTAACGAAATTTAACAACGTTACCCGAGTTTCACACCCTCGGGCATTCTGTGCTGAGCATTCATTAGAACGTGAAAAAAATTATCCATCGTGGGATTCTTTCTTCTATGTTATAATGCTATAATCATGCACGTATTAAAGCGTGAAAAACTGTTCCTTTACAGGCATTTCAGAATATTACTGCATTATTCATAGTTAATCTTGTTCAGTGCCGGCTTAATTTTTTTAATATAAATTGCTTGTAGTATTTGTAGCTTGAATGTGTTGTTTTCATAATGTAGGATAATTGTGTTGTCGATTAGTAATTTTTTATTTTATGAATGTAGACAGGAATATTGTTGTAGATATCTCGCAAAAGACGAATCGTCAGACATGTGGAGTGTAAGCCTTCTTTTTAACGTATTTCTCGTATATCCAACATATATATTTATTTTTTTTTTGTCAGAGATACATTCTCCCAAGGGACATTTAAATTGGTATATAATGTTGGTTTTACGTAATACATCAGTTAGTGGGGAGGTGTAATTGCGGATAATTAAATTTCTTGTATTGTATTTTTTTATAATATATGATTAATTTTATTTTTTAACAGAATCGTTGGAACATATGTTAATATATATATATATATATATATATATATATATATATATATATATATATATATATATATATATATAATAAAAAGGCTTAAACACTAATATTCCATGGTCATAATTTATTCCATTGGAATCGTAAATACGATCCAATTCATCAGACCTATAAATTCAAAAAGAAAACAGAAAAAAACCCACTCCGGAAATAAAAACAGAATTTAGAGAGAGTGTAAGTATGAGGAGGAGGGAGATTAAAAGTAAACAGAGAGAATTTTAGGAGAGATGGGTGGAAGGGGTTTAACATTCCTTACCCTTCATTGCATCTTTTCTCTGTCTGCCTTACAGACAGAATCATCGACCTTGTTAAAAGAATGAGGTCTATTAATTAAACCCCTCATACTTACACTCTCTCTAAATTCTGTTTTTATTTCCGGGGGTTGTTTTTTTCTGTTTTTTTTTTGAATTTGTAGGTCTGATGAAATTACGATTCCAATGGAATAAATTATGACCATGGAATATTAGTGTTTTAAGTTTTTTATTTATACATATATATATATATATATATATATATATATATATATATATATATATATATATATATATATATATTTTTAAACGTTAATATAGTGGCTACTCGTCATTTTTATTTTAAGCAGTTTCAGTTTCGTCTATCTTCCCGTATTGTCATTATTATAATAATGACAATACGATCTCCTCTAGGAAACGTCCCCCTTAGTAGGAGAAACCACCCTCTGATACGCCGGTGTTCTTTCCCATGCGCTAGGAAGACGACCATCACGGTTCTATTTTCCCTTTTAAACGAGACACGTTTCCTTACGACAAAAGGTGCGTCATTTTCCTCAAACCCTTTTGAGACAGAGAGTGCATGAATGAAAAAGTGACAACGAAACGAGACAATCATTTTAATAAATTTAAATTATTTAAATATTTTCCCCGCAGTTATGCTGCTTTCTTTAATTTTGATTTATTTATTTTTTCTTCTCCTAGACTGTTTGCCATCTCAAGGTAAAAGAACCCAGTTATCCATTTTAGTTATATAGAAAAATGAAAAGATGCACATCATTAATAAGGGTATTTTTGCGAAGGTATATACAACGATTGTAGCCTGATTTCGAACTCGGCTAAGCAATTACTCTTTCAGAGTTGTTAACCATTACTCTACTCGCACACACCTACTGCTCAATATAGAATAATTATTTATTTATTCTTAAATCAGAACCCCTCTTGATTTGCTTTATGTCGACAGTCACTGTCTATGATTGCCCCCGGGTAGGAAATAAAAATAAAACTCGGGTGATAAAACCCATTGGGGTGCTAAAGGTGTGTAGAGCAAATTGATTGGCTATTCGAATTTTGAGTCAGACAGCCTTGGACGAATCAGAGAACGACACGCATTAAATAAGCAATAGAAGACAAAGTCTATGCTGACAGCAAATTTGGCAATGTGTCAGCAGTTCATACGATAGATTACGACTCGGGAATTCAACGTAAGAGTAACACTTTAGTTGAAATTCTAGTAATCGGAATGTAAATATCGAGAGATGTGTCTTCAATCCCTTCAACTTGGTCACTAAAGTTGACCTCGGCGAGGAATATTTCTTAATGTAAAGATCAATATAAACACAGGCAAAAGAGTTTTTTTAGAATAAAAAATAAATTTGAACTCATCTATTTTCTTCTTCTTCTTCTTCTTCTTCTTCTTCTTCTACTAATACTACTACTACTACTACTATTACTACTACTACTACTACTATTACTACTACTACTACTACTTAAAATTCTACTTGTTTCTTTCTCTTTCTCTGTCTTTTGTGATTTCTATTTAGCTTATCCTTATTTTAATTTTGTTCTTTCTTTCATTCGTCTACCTTATTTGTTTTTTCCCGTTTGCTCATGCTTTTTCGCTTACTGTTTTCTTTATCTTTAATTCGTATTCACCTTCTTCTTCTTCTTCTTCTTTTTCTTCATCATCATCATCATCATCATCATCATCATCATCATCATCATGTTCTACTGTTGTTGTTACTCCTACTACGAGGGCGATCATGGCTCTTCACGATATCCCGTCTTTTCTTCGTTTTAGCAAATTTTGTCTTTTCGCTGTCACTCCTAATCTTTGTTCTGCCAATCGGGTTATTTATTTTATTTTTTTTAAGCATTTCACCCCAGGCAAGGCGGGAAGCCACTAGGACGCAAGGGGTTACAGAAAATAGGAAGATCAGATAGGAGTGATAGAAGAAAGGATTAGGGTAGTAGATAGATTAAGGCAACTGGAGATGTCGATTGACATTACACTGAATAGCTGGAGATTATAGCTCACAGGGAAACAGGAGAAGGGAAGAGAGTTCCACAGGCGAGAGGTGCGAGACATGAAGCTATTAGAGTAGAAGAGACGGCTACATTTAGGAGTTTCGACAGTGAAGGGGTGAGAGCGGGATGCCATCCTCGTAGGGCGCTTGAACTCATGAAGTCTGGGAACCAGCGAATGCAGCTCCTCGGAGCAATTTCCATGAAAGTATTTGTAGAACAGACAGAGGGAGGCGACGGCGCGTCTGTGAGAAAGTGACTGTAGACGAGACGCCAGAGCAGGGCCAACCATGGGTTATGGCCGCATCACGTTGAAACACCGGTTCCCGTACGATCATCGAATTTAAGCAACATCGCGACTGGTCAATACCTAGATAGTTGACTGCTTGGGAACAGCAGGTGTTGCAAGTTAGGATATGCGGTTGGTGTAATAGATAATTGCTCGGGATTGTAAATCGGAGAGCCGACTTCCAATTCCAGTTGGTTTCGTTATATTCATTTACGCATAAATATACTTGGGAAAGGTATGAATCCACATATGAATCCACATCTGCCTCGTCAGTCATGTATCTTTTGTTGAGCGCAGATCCAGTGTTTCTCAAGACCGATGGATGCTACGCATACACCTGATGTTATTTCAAAATGTATTTAACAGTAAAAACCTTGGTTCATCATGCCTTGGTAATGTAAATAACATATGTGCTGAAATTGAATTTACTAAGGGTGTGAGCGAAGAATCCAGCATTTCATCAGCCAACGCCCATTGGTCCTCATAAATTGCTCGTGTATTTTCATGAATCGTAGATTGCTTAGAAGTTTTCTGTCATCCTTCCACCAATCCACGTTTTTGTATGTTTGATTATGTTTAGACCGATCCGGAAGGATGTTTCGCCTACAAAACATATTAGGTATTTTACTAATTTTTTTTATAATAATGCAACGGCTCATAATTTCGGATCTTTGATTCAAACGGTTTTGTGATCCGGAAATGTCATTATTACTAACTTTTCTTATTGGCAGTGATTGCAAATGTTATTGTTTTTTTTTTTTTTAAATTCCAGTTCATATTTGGATCTTAGTTCTTTTAATTTCTGCTCAGAATTAGCTAGTCTGGTAGTTTTTCCAGCTTGAATGACGACCTGTGATTGTACCATTTTCCTTTTGAAACTACCTTCAGTACATCCTATGCATATTTTCTTCTGACTATCTGTATCTATTACTTTTGCTTTATAAATTACTAATTTGGTTTTGCAAACTCCATTTAATGGACATCTATTTTTATTTCTACAGTTGCATAATTCATTCGTGTTAACTATATTTTGCTGCAAGTTAGTTTTTAAATATCTGGCGTTTTTTATTATTGTTTCTAAATTACTAGTACAGCTGTAGCTTAATTTAACTGTATTAAATATATTATGTAATTCTGAGTTTTGGGGGAAACGTTTACTAAGTAATACCTTCCAGATTTTACATTTTACCTCAAGTTAAAAGGTGTGGTGGGGGGTGCACCAAAATGATATTTTTTTTTCTTTTTCTTGAATTGTTCTTCATTTATAGTTTTATTTGTGGTTTAAATTCTAGTTTGGTTTTATGTCCCTCTTCCGTTAAGGTTTTCTCATATTCTTTCTTTTTATCCTCAAATTGTTTCTAGATAACGTAGACACTCTTCCTATAGGGATATCCTTTATTATAGTGTGGTTGGATCTAAAATTCTACGTCGAGATACTTGACAACTTTCTTTTATTCATTTCAACTTCTGTTTCAAATTCCAGACTTTTGAAGAGTTTGAAATTCCCTTTTGTTATGTTGTCATCAGTCTGTTATCCCTTTAGTTGTGTGTGTGTGTGTGTGTGTGTGTGTGTGTGTGTGTGTGTGTGTGTGTGTGTATTAGGTTGTCCCAAAAGTTCGTAAACACTTGCGAAAAATTGAATTTTTATGCAATTTTTAATTGTTTTTTTTTACTTTATCGAGAATTGGCTCATGAGCTTGGAGTTGGCAAATCGACAATTCACCGACACTTGAATCAACTTGATTTTGTTCACAAAAAGTCGCGCCAAGATCCGCACGAACTCACCGAAGCACAAGCCAACAGACGAGTTGAAATTTGCCGTCAATTGCTCAGCAATCCATTGGACGAGCGTTTTTGGAAGCGCATTGTGACATCGGACGAGAAATGGGTCTATCTGGTCCAGCACAATCGAGACAAGTGATGGGTTCAGAAAGGGCAAGAGACACCGTCGGTTCCAAAACAAGATCGATTCGGCAAGAATGTCATGTTGTGCGTTTGGTGGAACTTTGAAGGAATCGTGCATTTTAAGTTGGTTCCGAATGGTCGTGCCATCAGTGCCGAACTTTACTGTCAGCAACTGGAGCGGGTCTACGAAAAGTTGAAGCAAAAGTACCCGGCTCTAATCAACCGAAAGCGCGCTTTGATGCAGCAGGACAATGCCAAGCCACACACCGCCAGGAAGACCAAAGACAAGTTTGAATAACTGGACGGCGTTGAGGTTCTGCCACATCCAGCCTACAGTCCTGACTGTGCTCCATCAGATTACGGCCTTTTCCGCTCAATGCAACACTTTCTGAAGAGCCGCCGATTCGACTCGTTTGATGAAGTCGAGGAAGCGTGTCAAGAATTCTTTGATTCGAAACCGGCTGAATGGTACTTTCACCAGATCCGAAAGCTTGCAGATCGAAGGCAGAAAGTCTTGGAAAATGATGGTCTTTATTTTGGGGAATAATTTTTGTTGTTTTTATTATTACTTGGCGAGTAAAAATTTCAATTTTTGCAAGTGTTTACGAACTTTTAGGATAACCGAATATATATATATATATATATATATATATATATATATATATATATATATATATATATATAGAGAGAGAGAGAGAGGATATATATATATATATATATATATATATATATATAGAGAGAGATATAGATATATATAGAGGTATATATATATATATATATATATATATATATATATATATATATAGAGAGAGAGAGATAGATGGAGAGGATAGATAGATAGATATAAAAAAGAGAGATGGCTAGATTCAGAGAGATAGCTAGATAAAGAGATAGCTAGCTAGCTAGATAGATAATACGTGTCTATATATATATATATATATATATATATATATATATATATATATATATATATGAGAGAGAGAGAGAGAGAGAGAGCGACGGAGAGAGATAAAGAGTAGGTCGACAGATAGAGACATGGGGCAACACACCAACAAGTTTCATAAATCGATGGCTACAGACAAAAGCATAGATGGATAGATGAGATTAAATATTACAGAGGTTAAGACAAACAGACTGACAGAGAGACAAACAGACAGACACATAGATGCAAACTGAAATAGATATTAAAGGCGGTAAGATAGATAGATAGATAGATAGATAGATAGATAGATAGATAGATAGATGGAAGAATCTTAGATAGATAGATAGATAGATAGATAGATAGATAGATGATATAGATAGATAGATAGATAATATGTAAGAATCTTAGATAGATAGATAGATAGATAGATAGATGGAATAGATAGATAGATAGATAGATAGATAGATATGGAAGAATCTTAGATAGATAGATAGATAGATGGATTAGATAGATAGATAGATAGATAGATATGGAAGAATCTTAGATAGATAGATAGGTAGATAGATAGATAGATAGATAGATATGGAAGAATCTTAGATAGATAGATAGATAGATAGATAGATAGATATGGAAGAATCTTAGATAGATAGATAGATAGATAGATAGATAGATAGATAGATAATGAGGAAGAGAAACTGACAGTCGTATATTTATAACGTTGCTTGTATTTATCTCTAAGTGTTTCAATATTAAGCAGAGGCTGAGTGTTATTCTCCCCCGTGGCGACGTGATGCTTAAATATGCAAGTCTTAAATTATTTTAAGCGCACTTTTCTCGGAAGAATTATTTTCTAAATAAGCCCTTCAAACGTATTGACTTGGAAATAAATCAGACGAGCAAGAATTTTTACCCAGTAAACATATTTTATCGAGGGAAAAAAAATAGTCAGGACAGAAACGTAGATGGAAAAAAATAAAACGATTACATATGAAAGAAAATATCATGAAGTAAAAAAAAAAAAAAAATGGAGGAAAAATTTGGATCATTTTTAGCTGAGGAATAAAAATGGAAAATGGAACATAGACACTGCGAAATGGAAAAGAAATATGTGTTTATCTATCTCGTGATTCAACAAATATCTTTGAGCTTCCATACACTCTGATGATGATATATAAATTTCAATGCATTTTGAATGTATGGTTAAAAAAGAAAGAACACACAGTTTTGGAATTTAGCTCCCACTTTATTTTTTCCAGTATAACTTCCTTAGGGATATTCCATAGAAAAATCCAGTTTGAGTATTACTTTCTTTCTTTCTTTTTTACAACCTGGTGCTGTAAATTGGATGTGCGTATGGTGCAGGCAAATGCCGTCAGTAATTTCTCAGGGTAGGTAGCTTGCGACCTTTTATGCAGTAAATCTACAAAAGAAATAAAATATTTGCGTTTTATGCATAACTAGCAGTAGAGCCCGGCATTGCCCGGGGATGTAACAGTAAGAGATAGATCAAGTATCGACCATCATAAAGACTGAAAAATAAAATTGACAAAGATTATTGTTTAAGGTTGACGGACACGCATGTTTTAATTCGTTTTTTTTTTTTTTTGTTTTTTTTTTACGAATTGGTCAAACCCAAACTCAAACAAAAACAATGTTTTCAATCGTTATGAGTTTACTGATTGAATAAAATTTTATTATAAACAATTGTCTTGTAAATGGAATTTTTAAATTTTAGATAGATGTGGAAGAATCTTAGATAGATAGATAGATAGATAGATAGATAGATAGATAGATAGATTCGGCCGTTGTACGTTCCGACCTTCTTCAGGTGGTTGGAATGAAGAACTGAATCCTTTATTTAGCTCGCTAGTGTAGACTGTTCTAGTTCCACGTGCCATGTCTAATTAATATCAGTTATCAGTTACCTCCAAGTTCTCCGTTGCCTTAACCAGGTATTGAACTCACACTCTTTAGGTCCTGTCACTGGATCTAACTAACGCCTTTCTTTATCCACTGTGCCATGTGTTCTTGAGTTTTCTGTTTCTATTTGTTTTTTTCCTTTGCGTTTTCAATTTGCATTTTTATATGATTTTTATTCAATTTTTTGCATGGTATTTTCTCCATATTTTTGAGCTAATTTTTGGTTTAGTAAATTATTTCAATTTTTGATTATTACTCTTTTAAATTTTATGATTCTTATTTAACTTTATGATACTTACTGTTTCAAATTTTATGGTTCTTAGACTTTTAAATTTTATGAGTCTAATTTTTTAATTTTATGTTTAATTTTGTT